TTCCATCCAACCGTCCAATTTTGATCAAGAGAGCCACTCACCATCTCAAAATATTTTATTTTTAGTTTTTTTTTATATAAACTTTATGAATATGAAATTTGGTGTGTGCCATCTTCTCATTGGGGCGCATTTATAAAAAAAATATTAAAAATAAATTTTCAATAAATAAAATGAGCAAAATACCCTTTGAAACTTTCAGAAGTATTTTGGTTATTTTATTTTATTAGAAATATATTTTTTTTATATTTTTAGCTGATGCGAGTTTAATAGAGGATTAGACGTACAAAATTTGGTATCAAAATAGTTTATAGGAAAAAATGAAAAATAAAATAGTATAGAGACATGACATTGTGATTGGGACAATGAATGGAAGGCTGGATAATGGGAAGCATATAAGTTTTATGCTGAATACGAAGCATAGAAAGCTTGCCAATATAAAAAAGATGCAGTTTCTAGAGGGCCTAAGCTTTGTGAAAACAAAGTAAAGCATCACCTTGAATCCTCATTTGAAAAGCACTTTCGGCATTAGAAATCTCCATAACGACTCTACAACAAATTTTCAATACCGACTAAAAAGTCTGAAACTAAAAAGATTAGTGTAGATCTTCTGGATACATAAAAACTCATTTTTAGGGCAAAATGTAAAGTCTAGATAATATGTTATGATATATGCTATTTTTAAGGCTTAAAACCTTAATTTTGTTTCACAATTATAATGGTCAAGGCCGAGATTATTGATGTGAAGATTTTTTGATACCAAAATTGTAATTTTTAGTGAGTTTTGAGGTAAAGCTTTTCTCGTTTAGATAGTACTACAACGTTATCAAAATATATTCCATCTAAAATATCTTGCCTTTGTCTAGCCAGAAGAGAAAAAGTTTATTTATTAAACTACTTGAAACGGCTAGTCTCATGAAATGGCACATTATTTACAAAAAAAAAAGAAAGAAAGAAGAAGTGGCTTTCAAATTTCACTTTGTTTTTTTATGATTATTGGGGCGATTACATCTCCATTCCTAAATGGCAACGATTAAAGACAAATAAATGCAGGGAAAGGGGGTGAGAAGGAAAAGGACACAATTTCATAATGGAAAACTTCTTCGTCCGTACCATTAAAAAGCGGGCTATCACGCAGAGGTACATATTTTTACGCAATTTTATGAGGAGGGTCAATCAGTACGTTTTTTCATCAATTTTACCCAGTCCGATACTGGATTATTTTTTATTTAATTTTTTTTGTTATTTTTTTTAAAAAAGTTTGGACCATCCTAGTGCTCAAGGGTCATTTGGGGTTGATTCGATGTTTCAAACATTGAATGGATGTAAAATACTCTGATACCCTTTTTGAATCCATTCGATGTTCAATCAGGAATAGAGAACATCATACTGTAATATGAACTTAAGTTCTTTTTAAGACTTAAAGGTTGCCTGACTTGCAAAACTTCGTACCCCGTTTTAAAGGACATATAGTGGTCGTTTTGAGGACATTGGGCCACATTGAACCTAATATTTTTAGGCTTAAAGGTGGTTTGATACTCGAAACATCAGACCACCCAATTTTAAACAATCCGACCGACCTCAAGATAGCGTCCCCCTTCCCTGTCTTATTGGATAGTCCTACATTCTAAACAAATAAAGAATAAAATAAAAAAATTGGTTTGAACTCATGGCAAAATTTTTAAAAGTGATTATATACAAAGATACCATTTATCTTTGTTATAAAGAGGTCATAATTATTAATACTCATCAGTCAAATTGGATAGCTTGGGATATCACGAATTTCGAAAAACTTTTTTTTTTTTTGAAACGTGAATCTTTTCAATGACATCTTCATAACCACATATTTTGAAATTTACGGACAAAAATGATTGCGACTTTGTTGTATAAGAGATAAATTGTCTCCTTATATATTTTTTATTAAAAAAAAGTAAAACTGATATATAAAAAAATATATATATATAGAGAAAAAAATCAAAGCAAAATATGGGAAAAGAGTACATCTGGGGAACGTAATTTTTACTCGACGTCGTATAGCATAGCCGCCTGAGTTTATGGAGGTTTCCCGTGTGTAAAAAACTTTGCTGATAGGATAAGTGAAAGTGAAATATGGGAAAAAAAATAATGGAAGCGAGATATGGGAAAATGTGCCTCCGCGTAATACGTTGTGGACGTGATTTTTCCTAGTAAAATCGACGTCGCCTATCTTATCCCCCACAGTTTTTTTCTGTACCGTGTGTGGGATGCCGAAAAGGACAAACTCGACTGGTACTGGCACATCTTAGCCATCACTCTCTCCCACTTGCACATCTTAGCCATCACTCTCTCCCACATCTTAGTAAAAAATAAAATTTTTAAACTGTTTAAAAAAAATTTTAAAAATATATATATAAATTACGTGTATGTCTGTTATTGTTTTCGTTATTACCAAAATACTAAATAGTTTTATGTTATTATTGGAATGTCCGTTTTTTCATTTTTTAATAAAATTTTAAAAATAAAAATATTTTTATTTTTTTTCGATTTTTTAACCATCGAAATGACTGAATTTTCAATCGATCAAAATATGAAAATAAGCTGTTTAAAATAAAAGAGTAGTTATTACCTTCCCTACTTAATTACCAAAAAAACAAATTGACACAAAAGTAAAAAAAAAAACCTGGAAGTTCCCCCTCTCTAACACCACTCAACATCTTTTTTAGCCGCCAACTCACGTTTCGTTCTCCTCTCACTTAGAAAGCGTCACTAATGAACCTTCTCAAACCGTACGATAGTACGTTTGACGAAAAATTACGCATGGCCACAACTAATTAAAAAATATATAAAGGTTCCATTTTGCTTTGTTTGAACGTTCCTCTGCATTTTCTTGTATTTCTCAGTTTTGTCTCTCGTCTTATGTTGATCGGACCGGTTTTAATTTAGTTATTTATTATTATTATTTTTTTCACTTGTCTTAATCGGACCGGTTTCAAACTGTTTTTTTTTTTTTTGTCAAACTTAAACACGTGACCTAAGATTTAGGTCACTTTTGAAGCACGCCTCGGATAGCTCTCTATGTGGTAACATTAATCCGGGAGGCAAACTGGGAAAAGACAATGCGAAAGGAACCGATCTTGCACATAATATTCAGGAAAATGTAAAACTTTCCTTATTTTCTCATTAGTTTTTTTTCCCTACATAAATTTTCCTAGTTTTCATCATCTTCAACATCGTTTTACAAAATAAAATACGCACAACAATGCGACTATTTAAGGTCTCAATCATCACTCACCATTAGATCGAAATGAGTGGTTGAGGGTACTTTATTCTTTGAAACTCTTCAAATATTATGAAATTCTTTTAATCTATTGGATTCTACATCCAGTAATTAAAAACAATTAGTTAAAAATAAGACTTATTTACATACGGACTTAAAATATGTTAGAAAAATATGAGTTGTTTGTTTTATATCCGAAAATTACAATCAAAGTCAGTCAACGTGACTTTTTTTATTTTTTTTTTAACAAATTAGCCCTCAGTCTGAGGATGATGCTATTTTTGGACCCATTTTTTTTTTTCAAAACTTAAAGTTACGATCGGAAGATGGCATTAGTTTTTTTTTTTTTCAAAACTTAAATTGCAGTCTGAGGATAAAATTCTCGAGCCCATTTTTTTTTTTCTTCAAAACTTAAGTTGCAGTCCGAAGATGGGGTTCTCGAACTGCTTTTATTAAACAAAAAAAAAAAACTTAAGTTATCCTCGAACCACTTTTTTTTTCAAAATTTAAGTTTTCGTCTAAGAATTTTAACCTCAAACTGCAACTTAAGTTTTGAAAAAACAAAAAAAAAACAGCCAAGAGGTAATTTAAAAAAAATAAAAAAATCTTAAAGGTAATATTCCATTTAAAGAGAGAGTACCATATTTTCTCTACTTCGTAATTATATTTTCTCTACTACGTAATTAATAATAATATGTTGTAACTTCCTCAACACCAAAAAGGAATGGTCTGGTAATATTCAATCCCGGTCTTTAAACTGGAAAATCTCTCTAACTTCGTGGCCACTACTTAACAAGAATAAAATATTTTACAGTCCCTCTCTCTTAGTAAAAGCGCCTGAGAAAATCAACAGAACGCGGAGGAATCTCTTAACTCTCTCAATTCTCAATTAAACAGAATCCAAAATTTAATACAGACACGGAGAAACGACTTCATCTGAAAAAATGGAGAAATCCTCGTCACAGTTTCTGAATCCTGTAACTGATATCATTACCTCAAACATCAAACTTCAGACATTAAATTAAATCAGAAACTACTGTATTCCTACTTAGCAAAGGATTCATCATTCACCTAATCAGCTTTCAAGCTCTTAACCTAATCCGTAATATAACATCACAATCAAATCACCTATCGTCGCAGTAAAACAACGAAAAATCAACACAAAAACAAGGAATGCAATAAAAATCCATGGATTATGTAATTCTCATCAACAAATATATGCCGGATTCTCTAGAATAGCTTCAATATTTCTGATAGTCGATATACTATCAAAGTTACAAAGAGAGAACCTAAATTTCATCACCATCCTATGTCACAGAGAGTAATGATCAAAACAAAAGGGTCACATATACTATTCCATTTTCTAAATCAGAAGCATGAAGAATCCGATATCATCGAAGTTAGCTGGCTCATCTGTAAGACTTGAGCATTGCTCCACAAAATGTACAGATTATAGCCTTCCATTTTCTCCGATAGAAGGGCACAGAGCAAAACCTAGTGTCTGTTCTCATATCGGCGACGCTTGCTCCTCCTCTGCATCGTGAACAACTTCCAGCCGCTGGTTTACTTCTCCTCACCATCTTCTTCTGGTCCACTAAAAAACAGAAGAAAACCATCCTCTTCACCCAGAAGAACAGAGTTATTAAAGGATAAATATGCAGAGCACTTTCTTCAGCTTTCCGGCAACGTTTTTATTTTTCAGGGACTTTTGCGCTGATTTCCCGGCGACCTTTAGGCTCAATGTTTGATTCTCCGGCGATGTTTTCGGCAGTTGAGAGAGGACTTTTCCTAACTTGTTTTAAAGAAAGGCGCGTTTTGGGTTGCGGATTTATAGGCGTGCTGGTGATAAAGGTCGAGCAAGTTTTGGAGATCGAACGATACGTGAATGATAAGGGAGGACACGTGGCAGAAAAGTAAGTGAAAAGTACCTTGATGAGTAATCACGTTCTTCATGCCACAAACCTGTCCGCTGGTCAT